CCTAAACCTCAAACCTTAAAGCCTACGCCGTAAACCCTAAACCCCAAACCCTAAAGCCTACACCCTAATCTAAGCTTGCTACCCCGGGGCTCTAAGATCCTCCGACATGGCTCAGAGACCTTGGCGATGGGATCAAAGGATGGGGCAACTTCGTAAGTAGTTATGTCAGAGACTTACAAGTATCATAACCCCAATTAGCCTTTTAGGGCTACTCATCTACTTGTTACCTACGTACTAAGTCCCCCAACCGTCTAAGTAACCCTAGCCTTAGGCAGGTGAAGCTCCTAAACCCTTCATCCTAAAGCCCCAAAGCCTAGACCCCAAAACCCGACACCTCTAAACCCCTCAACCCCTAAACCCGAAACCCTAAACCCTGAACCCTAACCCCTGAACCCTAACCCCTGAACCTCTAAAGCCCCAAAGCCCTAAAGCCCCTAAAGCCGGAAAGCGTCCTGCCAGGCTTTCTGACATCTTTGGGAAGGATTGGGTTCCATTCAGAATCCTTGGTCTCCAGGCTTCTTGGGTCGTGCAAGGCCGAATAGGGTTTACTTTTAGGGTTTAGGCTTCAGGGCTCGGGTTTTGGGGTTCGAGGCTAATGCAGCGGTTTTGTGACATGCACGCTAGACCTAAACCGAGCAAGGTGAGCTACAACTCCACCATCAGCGCCTGTGATCGCGCTCAGCGTTGGACGCTGGCAGTTCAGCTCTTTGGGGCGATGCGGCAGAGTAAGGCGCGGCTTCGGTTATCCAGGGGCTCCAAAGTGGGACCAAGGTAGGTGGGATGATCCCTATTTTAATGATCCTTTCGTTAAGGAATCTTAGTCCTACCTAGCTTCATCCCACTTTTGGAGGCCCTGGAGGTTTGATTTGGGGTTCAGGGTTCAGGCTGGTGTTGGCTTTGGGATTCCTGGCTTCCCGAGTGGCGCAACAGCCCAAAGTATGTGTAGGGGCTGAAATACTTCGCTTCGGTGCGGGTTTCTCAGTTCGCACCCTTGGGTCTGCAGTTTGTTCGGCGAGTCATACGATCAGCCGCAATAGTCTAAACCCTAAACCCGAAACCCTAAATCTTAAACCCTAAACCCTAAGAAAAGTTATAAGCAGACTGGTCAGAATACTGGCCCCCTGCTTGCTTCTGCTCTCAGCTTCATACTCGCCATCATCATCATCAGCGTCGTCGTCGTCATCCTCACTCAGCCTCTGAATCAACATCATGGTCATCATCCCTTAGGTGCCGTAAGGGTCTTCAAGATCTGTTCGCCTGGGCACTTGAAGCCGAAACTCCCCAGAATCCCTTTGTCATAGTTGGGTAAGACTTTTAGTTTTTTTATCGGTACTTAAACCCACTAAGGAATACATATGTACATCTTTAATTCTATCCCAACTATGAGCTAGTTCCTTTGTGGAGGGTAGAATGCCCGATGAGGTGGAGCCCACGGCCATCAGCTTCAACTCCACCATCAGTGCCTGGGTTCTTGTTAAGAAGTTTAATGAAGTTGCCATAGCAGGGATCTATAAGGGCTCCTTTAAGGGATCTACAAGGGTTCCTTTAAGGGTTTAGGATTTTTTAAGATACCATCAAAAGGCATCTTTGGTAAGTGATACGGCTTCTGTATTATGGTAAGCTACATTAAATTCCTTAACCTTACCTTTGGTTAGTAGGGAATGGAAGAATGGCAGTAATAGTAGTTATAACTGTACCCCATTCCTCCATTCCCTACTAACCAAAGGTAAGTAACAAGAACCCAGGTGCTTGCGGCCGGGCGCAACAGACACATCTTGCTCTCGAGTTGCCCCTCGGCTACAAAATCGATGGTGGGAGTTTTGCTCAACCGAAGTCGTTCGCAGAAGGCTAGGGCACCTGATTCTGGGGTCGTGGTAATCATGATCTTACTGTGTGGGGTTTGAATTAGGGTTCTTCTGCAGCTCACATATGCTCGACGAGGGTTCTGTGCGTCATGCGTGGGGCATATACTCTGGGTTTTGTGGGTGGGTTCGGTTCAAGGCCTTCGAGTAGAGTCCAGTCTAGTGTAGTCCAGTATAGAAAACTAGAGTAGGCTTCAGCAGAGTAGAGTGTTTGTATAGTAGGGTAGGGCTTGTATAGTAGATCAGAGTATAACTCAATAATAAAAACAAGATTACTGAAGCTAAACCCAAACCTCAAATCCTAAGCCCTAAACGCCCTAAGCATCAGATCCTATACCCTGACCCCAGAGACGCTAGACGTGGCTGAACCCTCCCTACGTGCTCTACTCTATTCTGTTCCATGGTCCATTATGGTATACTATCCGAGACCAGGCTGTTCAGTGGTACACTTTTTACTTTCAGGTTTCTAGGTTCCTGTTATAAAATGCGAAGCCTAAAAAAGTATATACTTTTTCCCAGTGGGTTACTGAACAGCCTAGGAAAACACCCTAAGCCCTAGACCTTAAACTCGAAACCCTGAGCCCCCAAGCCTTGAACCCTGGGCCCTGAGACTCTAGTATATTGATGGGTTCAGGGACACTGAAGTTGGTTTAGGGTTTAGGGGTTTAGGGTTTCGGGTAGTTTAGGGTTTCGGTTTAGGGTTTTAGGGGTTTAGGGTTTATGGTTACAGGGCTTTGGTTTTAATGGGTTCAGGATTTAGGGTTTACGGGCTTGTCGTTAGGGGTTTAGGATTCAGGGTTTAGGGTTTTAGAGTTCAATGCTCAATGGGTTCCAACAAAAAAGCCCAGACATTGCCACCCCCAGGCCTCCTTAAGGTTTTTTTAGCAACGGTACCCCCAAAACCCTACTCTAATTATTCAGGCCCTCGCATTATAGAACCATAGTAACCCCAAAAGTAGCCTTTATTCTAGAACCGATTCTAATTAGTACGGCCCTATAGTAAGTGCAGTGCAGAGGTTCTCCGAAATGCCACGGGCGCAGCTTTCTCCCACTGTGGTCACCTACGGCCCCTTGGTCAATGTTCAGGGTTTAGGGCTGTAGGGGTTTGCAGGATTAGGTTTTTTGGGGTTAGGGTTGAAGGTTCTGTTTTTTTCGGGATCTTTCTGACCATTTATTCGTGGTTGTCTGGGGTTTCCTACCATTTAAAAACTGAGCCCACAAACACTCTGAGCCCCGCACCATCAAACTCAAAACCCTGAACCCTAAACCCTAAACCCGAACCCTGAACCTTAACCCCTAAACCCTAAACCATAAACCATAGACCCAACCCCTGAACCCGAAAACCCTAAACACTAAAACCTTAACCCCTAAACTCTAAACCCAAACCCAGAACCTTAACCCCTAAACCCGAAACCTAGACACCAAACCCTGAACCTTAAACCCTAAACCCTAAACCCTGAACCGAAAGCCCTAGATCCTCTAGCACTACACGGTAAGCCCTCTCTGTGAAACACCAAACCCTCAAACCCTGAGGCCAGAAATCCCTAAACCGAAGAAGACACGAGGGGTTAAAAAAAAAGAGTCCCTAAACCCAAAGCCGATATCAACAGAGACCCTTACAGAAAGACTTTGCAGGATGACATCTTGTAGGAATCCTTCAAAGGGGCCCTGAGAAAGAGCCGTTCAACGAACCCTTAGACGGACCTTCTGGGAAGCCGTTCAAGAGACCCCGAACGGAACCCCGTGAAGGAGCCCTTAAAGTATAGGAACCCTTTCCAGGAAGCCTTATCAAAGTAACCCCCAAACGGACCCTTAGAGGGACCCTTTTTAAGGAACCCCCAATACAACCCTTGAGGGACCCTGAGACTTGGTTCGCCAATGGGGGAACTTTAAACTTTTTTGGCCTTCTATCTTTGGTCCATCCTGGAAGTGGTATTTTTTGGGTTTGCTTGAATAAGGGAGGAAAATATTTAGTAATTTCGAGTGGGAGTTCGCCGAGTACAAGAACTGCGTTTAGTAAATTACTATAACATATTTCGCTCTTTCTTTTTCCACTATAATTGAGGGACCCTGGGGTTAAGATATCCTATAATATACTAAGATATACTATGATATACCTAAGATATACTATAACAAATTAAGATATGCTATAATATATTATCATGGAGGGACCCTGAAAGGGGACCTAACAGGCTCCATCATCAGTGCCTGCGAGAAGGATGCGCAGTGGGAGCAAGCGCTGAATCTGCTCCGCGGCTTTGAAAGTCACCGTTTTTACGGGAGGTTTGGGGTTTAGAGTTTGGGGTTTATAGAATCTTCATGGCGAGGTTAGGGTTTAGAGCTTTAGGGTTTAGGGTTTGGGATTTTACGGTTGAGAGGTCTTGCAGGGGGTATTTCTAAGATCTTGATACAGCGTTTGTGATCAGTTTTGAAATGGTGTTGTGTGGTTTGAATAGGGCTTTGCTTGAAAAGTTCATGGGTACTTCTGCGTAGGGTTTCAGGTAAGGCAACTACACGTGCTCGCCGATCTTCGTGCTTATGGTTTACTTCTCACTCCACTCACTACTGACATGAGCCCTCGAATACCTCCCACTCGGATGGACCCGTCCCTATACATTTATGCATCTATATTTCTGAAACCCTGTTGGTATGATTACTAACATTATATTCTCATTTGCATAATACCGGCCATCCACGCTCTTGCGATGACAGGATCCCTGGAGGCCTAGCACTAGCACCCGTCGCTCTGAGTTCTTGTTGCTCGCGGGGCACTTCCACCCAAGCTGATCTGCCCATACCTTGAGCCCCGAAGCCCTGGATTACGATCCTGTAGCCTGAACTCAATGCCGAACGTGCGAAGCCTTAGAACACTACGCCACAAACTTAAACCCGCGACCCGGAACCATCATCCCGAATCCTCCACCCCCAGATCCCTAAGCCTGAACCCGGAACCCCAAACCCCAAACCTTGAACTCTGAACCCTCAACCCTTAAGCTTCAAGCCTAATGAGCAACTAAGCCCTAAGCCCGAGAGACCCCTTAACCTCTAAGCTCCTAAACCCTTAAACCCTATAGACCCCTTAAAGGATTTCCAGGGCCTAGTCCCAAAATCCTAAGCCACTGGAAGAGGTTCGGCGAGATGCCGCAAAGGGCCGTCAACATGAACGCCGTCAGCTACAATTCGGCCTTGAGCGCCTGCGCACTTCGGCTCACCAGCTTGAGTTTTTTTTTTTTACGGCTTATGGTATTTAGGGTTTTTAGGGTTTTGTTTTTTTTGGGGTTAAGGTTTTAGCTTGAGATTTTGAAACCAACTGTGAGCCTCTTGCCCAAAGTACCTCGGCAAGTAAGGACAAGGGCGGGCAGTGGCAGCTTGTCCTTGCCATGTTCCGAGCCATGCCAAGGCCGGTTGTGATGAGGACGTGGAGAATAAATGGATCTGCGTGATGTGCTCCTCTGTGTATGGTGTATGTGTAGATGACATATATATATATATACACATGTATACATATATATATATATATATATATATATATATATATATCTTTAACAGCTATATACACATTTATGTAGGTATGCCTGTCTGGCTGCCTGTCTGTCTGTACATAGGCACACAGGCACGCATGAATGCATGTGTAGATATATCCACACTCATGCTGTTGAACATTCAGGCCCAGATGCAAACGTAGTTATATGCAGCTGCAAGGCACATGTACATGCAAAAGTATTGCTGTTTATGTTACCATTCGCGTCTTGCAGTAGTCAGCTTGAAGCTACCTGTATACCCACCCGCATTTGTACATGAGCACACACAAACAGACAGATTGTACATATACATAAGTATGTACATACCTTCGTATTTCCCCAAACAGGAACTGTTAAGGGGTCCTCTCCTCAAAAGAAAAGGGAACGCGCCTGGCGGGATGGGTGGCACGCGGCTCGGGAGCTGTGGGCCCGCGGAGTTTGGATGGGTGGCACGCGCTCGGGAGCTGGGGGCCCGCGAAGTTTGGATGGGTGGTAGTTTCGATTTTTGGCTATGGCTTCGTGGTCTTGTATTGTTATGAAGCATAAACTATTCTATTAGTCAGGAAGGCCTGAATAATGCATTTCGTGGTGCTGCAAGCAAGCAATATTTTGCCGTGCTCTCAGCCGGCTCCCTTGGTATTTACAATAGGAAACCATGGAAAAAGAAGACAAAACCTATGTTTTTTTTGGTATTTGCAACAGCAAACAATTGAAAATAGCGGAAAGCTCATTGGTTTCCTGCTATTTTACAATTGAAAGCCATTGAAAATAGCAAAAACCTGTGTCTTTTTAGTTCAAAACCATTGAAAACAGCAAACAAGCTATGTGTTTTTAATATTTCCAATGGAAAACCATGCAAAATGGCAAAAAACTTATGTGTTTCTCTGTATTTGCGATTGAAAACCATGATTTTAGCTGCTTCGATACACGCATTTGGATGTGCTTTGAAGGACACATTGCCTCCTCTTTTGCTTCGACACAGCACGAGATCTGCTCTAAATTTGCAAGGAAAGCTATCCGAATGCGTTTTTCCACCCCCCTAAAATGCATTTGGGCATGTGTCTCTTTGCTGTGGGCTTGTCGGAAACGACCAAAATGCTCCTTTGATTTTCGAAAACGCTCTTGTGTTTATGGCTTTCCTTAATAAATATCGCACAAAGCCTTAGATTCCGCGAAACCGACAGAGCGCAACTTAGCCGTCGGTAGAAAGCCACAGGCAAATGCATTTTTCCAGCCCTGAAAAACGCATCTGGCTTGTCACGGATGCTTATGCACTTGTGGTCAGTGTCCAGGCACCAATCTAATCTCGATTTTTGGCATTGCTTTCGTGGTCTTGGATTGTTATGAACCAGAAACGATTCTATTACTATGTTTTTTTGGTATTTGCAACAGAAAACAATTGCAAATAGTGGAAACCCATTGGTTTTTCTGCTGTTTACAATTGAAAACCATTGAAAATAGCAAAAACACCTTTGTCTTTTTAGTTCAAAACCATTGAAAATAGCAAACAACCTAATTATGGTGGAAGTCGGAAAGTTGAAGCGTGTCCACAGGAGCAGCTTGACCCCAAGCCAAAATTTCCAACTTTGATCTCGGAGGCTAAAGTTGGAACATGGTCAGAAGCCCGCCAAAGGGAAAGTTGGAACCTGTATTGCAGAGAGATAGGAATTGCAATTACTGCGACCGCACCAGTATTGCAGAGAAAGAGAAACCACAACTGCTGCGACCGCTCCAATATTGCAAACAGCAAGAAACTGCAATCAATACGACCGCTCCATTATTGCAAACAGAGGGGAATTGCAATTACCACGACCGTTCCAGTGTTGCAGAGAGAGAGAAACTGCAATTACTCCAACCGTTCCAGTCTTGCAGAGGAAGAAGCTGTAATTATTGCGACCCTTCCAGTATTGCAGAGAGAGAAAAACTGGAACTGCTAGGACCCCTCCAGCATTGCGATAGGACCTGAGATAGAAACTGTGGCAAAAAGGGAATTTGCAATTTCTGGATTGTCAGACCTTGACAAGTCTTCCTCCAGGACAGGGTTCTTCTCGTGCAGGAAGACGGCTTTCTCCCAGGAGGGGCTAGACCTTTCTTGTGTCAGCACAGGAGGTGCGAGCCAGCTGCCGGCGCAGCGGCGATGGGCGCTGCGACACGGCAGCGGGAGCGGTCAGGACCTGCGACAAAAAAACCTTCGAAGTGCACGACGCTAGAGCGTCCGGATAGCCGAGTAGGCAGCCAGGGTCGAAGAAGCATGAGGATTGGGGAATCTGCAGACTCCTGAAACCACGCCGCTGGCCAGTGCTCTTGGATCAGATTTCTCTGCCGCCTTCCCGCCTCTCTCTCACTCGCTCCAAGCCAGCGTCAGGTTCGTCACGCCGAAGACCACGGGAGCAGGAGCGCGTGCCGCCGGCCCGCGCCAGTAGAAGCAAGGCGATCGACTCTGGGATCTTCATATGCCCCTGCATAAGTCGCTGGCTCGCAATCTCGGCGCTGTCGTGCAGAACGACGAAGGACAGACGAATGCCGGTGTACTCGGCATTCAGAAGCCGAGGAGCATTTGCGGCCGGATCGCAGCGAGCTCATTAACAGGCCGGCCATTGGCGTGAGTATGCTCGCGGATCCTTATTGGGCCGGCGGAAGAACTTGCAGGAAGGCCTGGCTTCAGGCTTCTTCGGCGCAAAGCTCGTGAATAGCTTTGAGGACCTCTGGAGCTCCTTCGACTTGACCTCTCATGTGGAGCTTCTGAACCTGGCGGACTATCCCACCCTGGAGAGGTCCCAGGAGACGGTGGAGCAAGCAGTGAAGACGGTCCTGAAGTTTGCGCGGAAGATCTTGGATGAGTGGCAGTTCTTCGTGGCAGGGTACACCAAGGAGACGGTTTCAGCAAGGGGGCACTAGTATCTTGCTTGCAGTAGAGATGGGCTCCGAGGTTCAATTCCATCCCTGGAGGACTGGCACGACCCTGGTGGGCTTGAATGCCTTGCTGGAATCCGCAGCCCTCGTCGTCGAGGGCAAAGCTGCAGCCGGGCTGAAGGATGTCACCGTATCGGAGGCCGTCAAGGGAGCGAAGGAAGCTCTGATGAACAACCCCACGGCTCCCAAGCATGTCGTGTCGTTCTTCACCGCATGCCTCGTCGAGAGGGCGGAAGCCACAGCGAAGAAGCGAGCCAGCTCCAGCGGCGCCTACACCGCGAAGGTTCCAGCGATCGCTATGGACTTCACCCCTTCCCCCAAGAAACGCAAGGCCAAGAAGGCTCAGATCGCCGAGGAGTACTGGACGGAGGCCAAGGAGTTGGCACGGCAGGTCAAGCACTTTGACCGGGAGAGCGGGAAAAAAGCCTTGGAGACGCTGGTCCAGCAGATCAATGCCCTCCAGCAGAAGTTTGATGACCTCGGCTCGAGCGACTTCATGGAGTTCCTCGCGCGCAAAAAGGTTGAGGAGAAGATCGGCAAGCATAAGGCCGCACTGCGAGCTGGCCAGCGCGTAGCAAAGCTCGTCACTCATCTATAGAACCCCTGACAGACGGGGTCGGCATCCCCCCTGTGTGGACGGCAGTGTGATGACTAGGAATCTTCGACGAAATGTGCCTTGTAGACATGCTAGCGGGTATAGTGCAGAAACTCCACGTAGCAGTTCCATGGGAAGAACACTAGTCGCAGCTGGCCATCGGTGCATCATCTCCACAGCCTTTTCTCCGCAAGAAAAGAAGAAAGTTCTCAGCAGCATGCCGTGGATGACTGTCTACGTCTGCCGAAAGCCTTTGCACAGTGGACCTTTGTGAGCTGATTACTACGGCCACTCCAGTATTGCAGAGACATGCGTGTACGGGGACCCCACGACCATATCGCTAGTCAGTGGTATGACCCCACTCGAGCACTGAAGCCTCCCCATGCTTCTGTATATAGGCGTGTTTGTGTTGGCTCAAACCCTCCCTCCCAACTCGCCCCCCGCCCCCCCGGTTCATAGGGTTGCGGTTTGCGTGTGGGTGTGGTTTCGTTTCAGGGCTTGGTTTCGGGTTTAGGACATACCTGACTGGGCCCCCTGAAGGGGGAGACCAGGCGTAGGGTTTCGCCGAGGTCCCCAATTTTGCAGGGGAAATCCGGCATAGGGTTTAGGGCCTTGCTCCCCAAATTTTAGGGGAAAGCGGGCTAGGTCGGGTTTAGGGCCCAGCGTTTAGTTTTATATTTTTTCCGTCCCCTAATCAGGGGAAGCTGGGCTTAGGGTTAGGTTAGTGCTAGGTTAGGTTGTTTCCCCCCCCAGAGGTGCCCTCCCACTTCCAAGCATGATGTCCATATCTTCCATGGCCCGACATTCGTACCATCCACGCTGGGTTTTCTAGCCTGTGCAGTCCGAATGTTCCAGCTTTGGAACATAATGCCAAAATTGGAACAACATGCATTTGGGCATGTGTCTCTTTGCTGTGGGCTTGTCGGAAGCAGCCAAAAGATCTGCTCCAAATTTGCAAGGAAAGCTATCCGAATGCGTTTTTCCACCCCCCTAAAATGCATTTGGGCATGTGTCTCTTTGCTGTGGGCTTGTCGGAAACGACCAAAATGCTCCTTTGATTTTCGAAAATGCTCTTGTGTTTCTATGGCTTTCCTTAATAAATATCGCACAAAGCCTTAGATTCCGCGCAACCGACAGAACGCAATTTAGCCGTCGGTAGAAAGCTACAGGCAAATGCATTTTTCCAGCCCTGAAAAACGCATCTGGCTTGTCACGGATGCTTACGCACTTGTGGCCAGTGTCCAGGCACCAATCTAATTTCGATTTTTGACTTTGCTTTCGTGGTCGTTATGCCGTCACAGATTTCTGCAAAGGTGTTAATGCAGGCACGACTTTTGACTTCGTGCCGATCGCTGCTTTGAGTTTATTCGCTGTTGTAAACGACCACTATAACATGCGTCTCTCTTGTCTTTACGTCAATACTGTTTGGGGTCTTCGCCGGGACTAATTTACGTAATTATTGTATTGTGCTGTATTGTATTGTATGTACTTCTGTACGTATACATACACACATATCCATCCATCCATCCGTCCGTCCGTCCGTCCGTCCATCCATCCATCCATCCTTTCACCAGCCCAATTCAATTCATTCCCAAAGGTCAATGTGGCGGTCGACTCGTGTGACTTCGTCTTCATTACCGCCATTGTAGTTGGTGTTGCGGTTAGTAGCAGTTTTCAATCATCAATCTCCAAACGCAATGCAGTCGCTCTGTTGAGCACCTTTCCGAGGCCTGTGCGTGTGCAGGGTTTAGCATTTAACCCGAGCGCTCACCTCCAGATGCAGGTCAAAGATCCGCCCCGACGTGGTCGCGCAATTTGGCTTCTGTCCGGTACTTGTTCTTGCAAGGGTGGGTATCGTGACCTTACCTTAAGCATAAACTGTTATCTTCACCGGGAGCATAATCGTTATCAATTCGCTTTGATGATCAGCTTCTTGATCATTCCGGGTATCATCCTCCTCATCATCGTCACCAGCACTGGCCATCGCCATAGCCCGCACTATCAGCACCATCATCATGGGCATCATCATCGTCACTATCAAAACATCGCGCTCATCAGTGTCATGACAGCCACCATCGTTATGAGCAGGCTTCGTTTGGTTTGGCATTATCCGTGCCACTGCTGCTGCAAGGGTTGGATTTTGCACTTTTGCGGAGAAAGCTTGACTGCAATGCTAGCCTCTGACCTTCAATCAGGTATACTGGAGCGATCCGTTCCTGTGACCAAAGTGGGCAATGGCAGCAAGCACTGCAGCTTTTTGATGACATGCCCCCTGACATATGGTTGCGAGTTTTCAGCAGGTTTCAGACTTTGCGGGCTCTCAATTTCGAAAATTGGCTGTAGACGTTGCTATTCTGGCCGTGCCCTGCTCGGTTTGGATTTGCGTTCCAAAGTCTTGCAAGTCTCTGCCCTCAAATGCCTGACTATGATGGCTTTGCAATGCAATATCTCGCTTTGCGTAAGTGGCTTTGCTGCCAGGCTTCAAAGTGAAGTTGCGCCGGATGTCATCGCCTACAGCGCCTGGAATTTTATTGGGGGGTGTTGCTTACTGAAGCTTCAGAGGGTTCCGGGCGAGTGCTTTAGAGGTGTTTTCAGTTCAGGGTTCGGGGTTTGGGATCGGGAGCTTAGGATTTAGAGTACTAAAGGGGCCTTAACAATTTCCTACATTATTTTGGAGGTTTCTTCTTACAATTATAGTATAATGGCCCCCCAAAAACCTATTCTAAGTATTAAGGCCCCTATATTAAGTTCAGGCTTAGGCCCTCGACCCCAACCCCAAAGATATCCCAAACCTTGAATAATGCCTTGCGATCCGTAGTAAGCCTGGCGTCCTAATCCTGCGGCCACAAGCTGGTAGCTACGTAGTTCTTACTGTGCGTATTCTGGGTGTCGGGGCACGATGGAAAAGTTAAAGGGATACTATGTCCCAACAGTGGCCTGCAAGACAACAACATGAAATGCAGACGGTGTCGCAGTCGAATTACGCGAGACGATCTTCGATATATTAGTAAGGTAGTGGAAGTAAGATACGACAACCATATCGGTGCCCCAGGAATCAGAGCATTTTTTCTCTTCGCCAATACATCTCTGAACACTATCTCATCCTTTTAGTTTCGGGTTTAGGGCTTTACGGTTAGATTAAGATTGCAGCATGACATTGACAGCCTGACCCCTGAACGACACCGCTCATCGCTGCCCTGAGGTTCAAAAGACTTCAATTTTTCTGCAACCCCAGCTCATAGGGACCCTTAGGGGGTAGGGGGGCTTAGCGCCCATAATAAGGACCTAACAAGGCTTATTTCAGGAAGTCTAGTTCCCTACCCCCCTCTGCCCTGCTCCCCTAAACATCCCTATGACCAGCCCTACAAAGCCCTTTAAGCTTCAAGGTGCCCTGATCAGCTGCTGCAAGGGCGGGCAGTGGCAGCTAGCCCTTTCAGTGCTGGACCGAATGCCAAAGGCTGCCTTGCAGGGATTCTATGGCTCTTGCAGGGGTAGGCATTTTGGATCTGGGTTGCTGATGCGATAAGCTGCATCAATATAGGGGCCTTAGCAATGAGAATAGGGTGTTGGGGTTGTTATAAGTATTTAGGTGGCCATAGTACAAGCACAACTCCCTGGTGCTTAGCAGGGAATGGGAGAATGGATCCTTATAGCAGTCCTATACAATCCCCAATAATAGTCTCCATAATAAACCCTACTAAGCACCAGACAGTCGGGGTTTCACACTGAGGGATAAGACTCTTCTGGCCCAGTCTCTGAACCTGCTAATATAGGGGCCTTAAAATATTAAATTCGAAAACGGTTTTGTTGTACATTATACTGCAATCATAACCAGGATCACCAATATAGTATTTGTATCTATTTAATCTGAGCCCCTATATATTGTGTGCTTCCCAGTCTTGCTAGGCGAAGATCGCTCCGAATGCCATCAGCTACACTTCGGCCATGGGTGCCTGCGAGAAGGGCGGGCAGTGGCTCTGGGCTCTGGCAGCTGGGCCTGCATTCTCACCCAGACCCCCGGGAGGATTTAAAAAGTAGATCCCTTAATGGGGGTTCCTATAAAGTACCCTTAGTAATATAGGGCCCCAAATTAGGGGATCTACTTTCTAGATCCTCCCGGGGGCATGGGCAATGGAACCTTAGACCCTAAACCCTGGGCCCTACATCCTAAACCCTCTAAGCCTTATCTCCTAAACCCTCAACCCAAGTCCTACACCCCAAACCCAACTCCTAGACGCTAAACTCAAACCCCGAAGGTTGGTAAAGGTCGCTAAACCCTGAAGCTCGGAAGTTCTAGAAGCTCAAACAGCATACCTCCATGATTGGTATAGGGTTTGTGGTACATCACAGTATGATTCTATCGGGCGGTTTGGGGTTTAGGGGTTTAGGGTTTCAGGGGTTTAGGGTTTAGGGTGTAGGGAGTGCAGGTTATATTGATATAAGCCCCAAACCCAAACCCTGCTTGAACAGTAGCTCAGACGTGGGACGTTGGCATGATAACTCCGCTAAGGACCATTGGAACCATTCAGTCGCTAAATATGTGCGCGTCGTTTGGGGGGCATGAGGTTAGGCATCTAGACTTAGCCGGTTTGCGGTTTCGGCTTTGAGGGTTTCGGTTTTAGGCTTTAGGGTTCAGGTGGTTAGGGTTTCAGGTTTAGGGTGTTTAGAGTTCGGGGTTGTCCGGAAGATGCCACGTAGGGAGATTCACTCATGCAAGATGCTTGCCTTTGTGTCCCAAAGACCCCAGCGTGCCGTACTCCATAGCAACCTTGAGGTAGCCCTTACCGCATCCTGTATAGAAGCCCTTGTAGAAACCCAGCATGTCAAACCCCGCCAGCTCGAACCGTGCGGACTCTTTGAAACTGCTGTTTTTTACGGGCTTGGGTTTGACGGTCTACTGGTCTGAGGGTTTACGGCCTGGGGTCTGGGGTTTAAGGTTCAGGGTGTGGGTTGCAGGGTGTAGGGAAGCTGTTAAAGCCTTCTGCCAAACTATCCGAGGAACTCTTCAGCCAGCTTTGCAGCTCCAAATTCTCTCCCAACGCCATCAGCATCTGAGCTCGCAGTTGGGGTGCAGGGGTTTAGGGTTTGGGGCTCGGGTTTACGGTTCAGGGTTTAGAGTTTAAGGTTCTTGACCTGAGGGTAATGCAGGAACCTGATTAAGAAAACCTGGGCCTGTAACCCCAAAATAGTGGGATTCATAGAAGGAACCCTAATAAAGGCCCAAGGTTTCTTAATCAGGTTCCTACATTAAGAAAGCATGTGCAAGTTCAGAGCTTAAACGCAGACCTGCCCCTCGATCCTCACCACCCTTAAAATCCCTAATCCCTGAACCCCAAACCCCAAACTCTAAATCCCTTATCCCTAGACCCTAAACCCTAAACTCTAAATCCCCAATCCCTAGACCCTAAACTCTAGACTCTAAATCCCTAACCCCTAGACCCGAAACCGTAGATGCCAGCCCGGAGCCTCACGACTATGTACTTCAGGGATGCTGGGCCCTTGTAGGTCGGCTATAGGTAGAGTTATGAGTCAGATACCCCCGAAGAGAGGTGCTCATGACTCTGCCTTTCACCTACGTATCTGGGTTGTCCTTTGGGATCTTTTTTAGTTTCCTACTATTTTGTAGAGAACCATAATAGTAAATAATTTTCACAGGGCTTAAAGGACAACTCAGACCCACTTATTAAGGTTCTTAGGCCTCCGAGTAGGGTGGAAGCCTGCTCCCTAGAGGTCACAGCTGCGCCTTGAGTGCTTGCCAATCGGGGGCACAGTGGCAACGTGCTCTCGTGTTCCTGGACCTGAAAGCTTGGGGGGCTTGGGGGGTTCTGTGAGGGTTCCTGTAAGAATCCTAAACCCTAAACCCTAAACCATTTTGGTGGGGTGGAGTTGGGGCTAAGACGCCCATTCGGGGCTCTGTAAGTTTAGATCCTCTGGCGGGCCCAAGGAGCTGCAATAGCGGCTTTGATCAGGACATTGATGACGATGATGATGATGGTGGCCATGATGATAAGGAAAAGGAGAAGATAACAATCGCGCTGATGATGCTGACGATCTTGTTGTTGATTATGGTGATAGTTGTTCAACTGTGGTGATAAGCACGACGATGCTGCATACCATGCGGTTGATGCCCAAAATCCTGCATGAGTTTGAACATCCCCACGGCTCCCTTGCCACCCCTAATTTAAATATTGCATTGATGCAGTAATTAAAACCAAGGCATGTGCGAATGCCCAAAATCCTGCATGACCCATTGGTGGTGCAACGTTGAAATTAATTAAGGGGTTGCGGGGAAATGGACAGTTCGACGTGAGCTATGTGCGATGACCTAGGCCATGCAGGATTTTGGGCATCAACAGTATTGATGTTGATGATGACCATGGGGAACAGTATGCTGCTGTCGTTGCTGCTGCCGCTGTGGTTGTGACTGTAGCTGTGGCTGTGGTCGTTCTGGTGGCTTTGGCTGCTGCTGCTGCTGCTGCTGCTGCTGCTGCTGCTGCTGCTGCTGCTGCTGCTGCTGCTGTTGGGTTGTTGCTGTTGGTGTTGATGCTGGCGCTGAGTTGATGTTGATGTTTTTGTTTTTTTTGGAGTGGTGGTTATGTTGATGTTATTTTTTTTGCTGTGGTTGTTGTTGTTGTTGTCGTTGCTGCGGCTGTTGTTTTTGGTAGCTTTGCTGCTGCTGCCAGGGCCAGTCTTCTGCAAGTAGTTTTCACTGATGCTCGTCACTGCTACGGCGAGGATGACGGTCAAGCATGACGCTTCTGACTCCGACGGCCAAGACCAGTATAGATTGATGTGGATCGGGGTGACGACGGTTATGATGATGATGGTGATGACGACGACTTTGTTGTTGATTGGCATGTGGTGAAGGGCGGTGGAGGGTGTTGTTTATGTTATGGAGGATGGCGGTGACCATGGTGGTGGCGATGATGGCAGCTGCTCTCCTCTCTCTCTCTCTGTCGTTTTCTCGCTCACTCTCTCGCTCTCTCTCCCTCCCTCTGACGAGGCAGAGGGACTGAAAAACCAGCTTGAGCTTTAAACCTGCAAACCCCCAAAGCCTGAAGTCTTAAACCAACCCGGAACTCCAGCTAAAGCACAAAACGATCTGGACCAACGCGCGTGGTCGAAAGCCTACACTCTACGCTCTAACCCGACACCCTGCACCCTAAACCCAACAAGGCTTTTCAGCGAAATGTTCCTGACGCAGCTATCACCAGATGTTGTGAGCTACAGTGCCGCGCTCCTTGATAATGTTTTCAGTGAGATTCTTTTGGTTCTCTATAAGGGTTACTATAAGGGCTCAAAACGGTTTAGGCCTTCAGGGCTTTGGGCTTTAAGGCGTCTCAGGTTTCAGGCTGAATTAAGTCGTAGATCAAGGGCTTGGTTGTTGGGGTTCAAGCTCAGGGCGGTTCAGGACCGAGTCCTTCTTTGAGGGTTTAGGGTTTAGGGTTCTGGGTTTAGGGTTTAGGGTTTCGGACGAACAGAACTATTACTTCGAGTCATTCTTCGCGGTCCCTTAGTGTTCCGGGCGAGAAGTACCGAAGTCAACGCAGAACTTTGTTCGCGATTCCGATTCCAGAGCTTTAGGTAATCCAGGGTTTAGGGTTGGGGGTTTAGGGTTTAGGGTTCATTATAGATAACTCCTAAACCCTAAACCCTTGCTCTCTGGCTTTGAAACTTGAGAGCCGAGCCATTAAGAAGGCCGAAGCGCTACCACCGACATGAGGACTGCTGCGAGTGGGGTTCGTCTTGAGTGCTCTTCAGTAAAATTCGGCAGATTCCCTTGTTGTCATAAAAATCATAAATCCCATAACTTCAACTTTACTTGACCCTAGAATGCCCCTAGAACTTGTTCGGTGCGTATCGAGGCTCGCCGCGTGTGCTCGGGGTGGTCGCTGGCGGCTGGCTATTCATCTCTTCGAAGGAGAGCGTTAACAAAGTAGCATCGGAGCTTTTTGCACATTTACACGAGCAAACAGATTTGACGCCGCAAGACGAGAAAAAAACAAACAGCGTACGCAACACCACGTGAGCATCATGAGATACATAATTACACATATGTGCATATGCACACACACACACACACACACATATATATATATATACACACACACACATACACACACATACATACGTGCAGCACATACGTAAATCAATATTTATATGTGTATACATGTGTGCGTGTGTGCAACTGTTTCACTGTTATGGAATGTATGTAGCTGTATACATATGTATATATATATGCTCCCCCCCCCCCCCCCCCAAGATCCACGCCTGCCCTGCCCAGGTACTGGCCTAAATACGCTGCGACTGCACCAAAGATTTCGCAGATCCTTCATTCTGCGTTTCCTTCATATACACCTTGAGTTTTCCAAGCGACATACATTCGCGTACGGCTTCTTCTCGTGTTGCAAAAGAACGCAAGCTTGCATGCATGTTCTGTGTGTGTATAGGTTTTTGCATGCAGCAGTATGGGCTCTGAAGGTAACACGCAACAGGAAAGCAAAAATATATCATCCCATATAACATAGTATCACGACAAGTATCGATATGAAAAGACGGCCCTATTTCTACACCTCCCATATATATGAGACGCATCGAGATTATAGATAATGTCCGTGAACACGAAATCTATCGATACTTTCAGGGCTCAACACCTTGTATTTCACCAACATAGTACCCTTTAGATTACATTTTAGAACACTTTGCAAAATTCCACTCTCATAACTTTTGTATCTTGTACAAATCCATCTGAATATCCTGTCGCACACCGTATACAAGACCACCTATATATGATACACCCCGCACGCATTCTATTACACATACCCTATAGGACACTCTATACAAGACACTATATAGAATATCTTATAGGATGTCCTGTAGAATATATTCTCTATGTATCTTGAAACCTTTCATATGGAATGCACTGATATAGAATACCCTCATGCATTATTGAATACCCTAGAGCTTCTGATACTTTCAGTCATGGCCCGTATATCTTTTGAATATCCAAAGTACCTTACAGAATACGACATAGAATACCCTACAGAATACCTTATGGAACACATAGTACCCTCTATATATCGCACTCCTCATGGAAGACCGTCTGGAATACTCCAAAGAAGACCTCACAGAATGCCCCTATGGCCCTATATATGACAGTCCATGTATACAGTATATGTACCTTGAACACATATGACACCGCACGCATTATATTACACATACCCTATAGGACACTCTCTACACGACACTATAGAATATCTTATAGGATGTCCTGTAGAATACTTTCTCTATGTATCTTGAAACCTTTCATATGGAATGCACTGATATAGAATACCCTCATGCCTTATTGAATACCCTAGAGCCTCTGGAATACCTTATCATATGATCAAGCCTCACTACACGAAAGTGTACAAGGTGAAGCTGCCGAACGTCAACTTTCTGAGTGTGAAAAGCGGCACGCAGATAATCGACCGCTTTTTGGGACATTTGCGTAGCTTTTTGAAGCACACAGATCGCACTCCAGGCAACCAGGCCCTCACAAGGAAGATTCGCTCAGCCCAGTTCACCTACTGGTTTCGCTATGGCAACATGTGGAAAGCCACAGGTACCATGCTTGCCTTCCTTTGGAACAATAGCTAGGGGAGCTGCCTTGCCTCTGCAAATGCCATCGCAGGCACCATTTTGATTTCGATGCTCCAGCGGTAAGCTGTGAATCGGCACCCAGCGACTCCTCGCGCACAAAACATCGGCCCGAAGCAATCGTGCATCAGTCCTGCTCCACATGGTTTGCCGAGACGTCGGACTCATGTTCGTACTGAAAGTAATTAGATCGTCCACCTCCAACAATCTTTGCCGCAGCATTCACGGTTCCAGCAAGAAACTTAGAGTAGAATGGTACCTAAATTCTGCTTCTCCAAACCCAAATTTTAGGGACAGTACAGCACTTTAGGGCACTGGAGCTTCAATAGTGCTGTACTGTCCCTAAATTTGGCCTCTGCCAAACCCAACTTTTAGGGACAGTACAACACTTTAGGGCACCTGGGTTTCAAAAGTGCTGTACTGTCCCTAAAATTTGGCTTTCCCAAGCGAAAAGTGCTGTACTGTCCTTAAAAAACCTAAAAAACCTATCCTCCAGAGACTATCGGCTGGGAACGCTTGAAGGTTGCTGGGAGATAGGTTTTTTAGGTTTTTTAGGGACAGTACAGCACTTTTGGCTTGGGAAAGCCAAATATTAGGGACAGTACAGCACTTTAGGGCACTGGAGCTTCAAAAGTGTTGTACTGTCCCTAAATTTGGCCTCTGCCAAACCCAACTTTTAGGGACAGTACAGCACTTTAGGGCACCTGGGTTTCAAAAGTGCTGTACTGTCCCTAAAACTTGGCTTTCCCAAGCCAAAAGTGCTGCACTGTCCTTAAAAAACCTAAAAAACCTATCCTCCAGAGACTATCGGCTGGGAACGCCTGCAGGTTGCTGGGGGATAGGTTTTTTAAGTTTTTTAAGGACAGTACAGCACTTTTCGCTTGGGAAAGCCAAATTTCAGGGACAGTACAGCACTTTGGGGTACTGGAGCTTCAAAAGTGCTGTACTGTCCCTAAATTTGGCCTCTGCCAAACCCAACTTGTAGGGACAGTACAGCACTTTAGGGCACCTGAGCTTCAAAAGTGCTGTGCTGTCCCTAAAATTTGGCTTTCCCAAGCCCAAATGAAAAGGACTGCACAGCACTTTTCAACACTAATGCTTGTAAAATCAGATTGATAGTGACAGCATACTATTGTGCGTAGTGGTATATCAACAAACTTTTCCAAAAATACAAGTTATGTCATGCCTTTGGTTCCTTGGCGGTATTTTGGTGTTGGCAGTCTGCCTCCCACTAAGCCATTGATTTCGGAACCAGATCCTGGTGTGCAAAATGTTCGATGTCAAGAGTTTGTAGACATGCTATGAGCAAAGTAGCTGTTCTACAGAGAAGCCGTTCCCGCTGGTATTTACAGCACGTTCTGCACATGGAGAAGGTAGGTTCGAAACGCTTGGTTATGAGTGAGAGAGAGGAACAGAGAGGGTGTGGATCTTGGGGGGGGGGGGGTGACCATATATATATATATATATATATGTGTATGTGTGTGTATGCATCTACAGCATGTACAGAAGGGTAGAAGGGCTTATGTCATGGGCAACAGTTAACATCCACCCGCATACGGACACTACACTGTGGTGAATGCAACCAAGCAGAGGGGCTGGTGTTGAGGTACCGGGATTTACCGGGGGAGAGTTTCCAAACAACTCTGCACCCCAACGCAGCACCAAACACCCACCACAACCCCACATGCAACACCCTGAAACCCAGCCGCCACGCCCAAGAGCCTAAACCTTCGAAATTAAATCAACCTACACGCAGCAGCCCACGAGTTGAGCCACAATGGCTTCTGTGAGAATTTTAGTTTTGGTGGCGCTGAAGCTCTGAACTCCTAAAGCTGTTTCGTTTTGTTCTCGGCAGGAATGAAGGAATACCGGATCCGGCCAAACGTCGTCGCCTACAATGCTGCCTTGGATTGCCTGCAGCAGCGGGAGGTCGGATGCTGGGTTTAGGGGGGTTTTTGGGGGGTTTGGGGGTTTAGGGGTTTAGTGTTTTGGGGGCTTAAACTGCTGCTTATCATCCTGAGTCCTGGTATTACTTGGTGTGTTAGTAGCTTTATGGGCAAGGCGGAGTTTGGCTTAGAGTTTAGGGGCAAGCGGCTCAGAGTTGTGGATTGATATTTTGGGGTTGTCAGTAAGGACGCTCATAGTAACACAGTCCCAAACATTGAAGTGAGTCTACACAGCGGTGGTCACAAAATCATGTCGACCAGCGAATGCGGAACCGAACCCAGTCGAAAACGGCCTAACGAACACCTTAACTACAAAGCCGCAGCGTCAAGACCTCGCGATCCACTTCCCCATCTGCATTGTCATCATGACCGTGATCCTCATTTGCATCGCTAACACTTTCGCAAATCACTCCAACCTCGCCATCAGTATCACCACATCCGTAGTTTCCAACATCACCACCACCACCACCACCACCACCACCACCACCAGCATCATCATCTTCATCTTCATCATCATCATCATCACCGTCATCGTCATCACCATCGTCATCACCAGCATCATCACCATCTTCATCACCACCACGACATCAGCATTACCATGCATGCGTCCTCCAACATTGTCCATGCTTAGTGCACAGGCTTATTTGTCACATGTGGGGCCTTTACGTAGGCAGTGGAGTGTCAGGTGTGATAGGAGCAGCCTTTACATTGTCACTTTGGGGTTGTGGCCCCGGGGATGTTTGTGAGACATGGTGTTGGGATCCGAAAGTAGCAGGGGCATTGCTAGCTTAAACATTACGCCATCATTATGCATTAAACGCTTCTTCTGAAGGACAGCGGGCCTATCTTCTATTTTGATGCGGTGGATCTTCCGTGGTAGTTCGCCACGTGTGCGCGTTGAGGCTTCATGTGAGAAGCAATCGGTGGTTACTCGCTGTAAGTATCACACGGATAATTTACATATTTAGGCCTAAACCCTAAACTCTAAACCCCTAAACCCTCTACATGAAAACTGTCCTGAGCCGCAGGCAGGCGACTCCCTTCTGCGAGAGGCCATACGGGATGGCATTTTCGATCCACTGCGACGGGAGAGTCTGGACTACGTTTTGGCTAGGAGTCGTACCAGTCATTATCTTGCTGCGACGTTTTCGATGCCAGTGTCGAAGATCCCAAAGGTTGTGGCAACGAATACTACAGCAGGATACTGTTAATCATAGGAGCTTATCTTGTCACCCAAATTGACGATAACACCTCAGCAACCATGGTCTTGACCATGCGAATCATCACAACAGGGAAAGACTGGATTATCATCATTATCGTAGGAACGCCCTTTGTGCTAAGAGCAAATGCAGTCAGCAGTTGATATGTCATAGCAGGCATAGGAGGCAGCAGGCAGCGGTTGCCAAGATGAGAAGAAAGTGTTCGCGCGAGGATATGCTGATATACTTACTTCTGTGCAGATAAACTGTATATAGCTCAAACCATCGTATCGGACGTATCCAAATAATGTCAGATAGTTACAGTGGTAGCACAGGCTGCAGCATGAATTGCTGAACCTAAAACCCTCAGCCCTAAATCGTGGGTTTAGGGTTTAGGGTAAACCCTAAACCCTAAACCCCAAATCGTCACTAAACCCTACGCCTGAAACTGTCCCTAAAGCCGCTCCTGGCCTCTCTGGCCTTCTGACCGTTGTACCTGGGCGGCCGGAAAAAGGAGTCCAAACAAACAAAAGCTGTCCCTAAAGCCCAAGCCCTAAGCCCCCAAACCCTCGACCCTCTACCCCTAAACCCCTAAACCCTTTAAAGCCTTAAATCCCTAAACCCGAAACCCTTAAATCCCTAAACCCTGAACCCTCAACCCCGAAACCCCTAATCCCTAAACCCTAAACCCCAAAACCTCAGAAAGCTCAGGACTCCGTGTGACATGCTGGACCTCCACGAGATGTCCTCCGGGGCAGCAAAGGCGGCCCTACTCTGGTGGCCCATCGACCGCAGCTAGGGTTTAGGGTTTAGGGTTTAGGGTGTAGAGTTTAGGGTTTAGGGTTTGGAGTTTAGGGTTTAGGGTTTAGGGTTATTATTATTATAGTCGGTATTATTGTTCATTCCCAGACCCCTGGGAGGATCTAGAAACTAGTTCCCCTAATTTGGGGCCCTATACTACTAAGGATATTTTATAAGAACCCCCCATTAGGGGATCTACTGGAGGTCCAAGGCCTGGCGATGAAATCCTTACGTGACCCAGAGGGTCCATCTACACTACCATTATGGAATTAGGTCCCAAAAGACCATCCCTAGTATGGTTTGGAGGGGCCTAATTCCCTAATGGCAGTGTGTATGGACCCTCTGGGTATTATTAGCATTGTAGTCGGTATTATTGTTATTACCATATCATGGTGATAATGACACTAGTAAAAGCAATAGAAGCAATAGCAACATTATTGAGAATGAAAATAGCAATACTAATAACACTATTGGTACTACTGATAATAGCACGAACAGTTAGCAGTTCAGAATGTGGGTTCAGGGGTGTGGAGGATGTCTAGACTAGTGAGTCCTGTGTTCGGAGCGCATACCGACAAAGTCTTTTTTTTAATTGTCATGTCTTCGTATTACTCTTATTATCATCATCGTTGTTATTCAGTCGAGTTTGAGTTTCAGCTTTCTGGCCGGGTGAGGACGAAGGTTGGGTGGTAACATTTTGGAGAGCTTGGTCGTCGAGCGCCGAAGGGCTGTCGAGGAGGAGATCTTTGGGTCAGTTCGCAGGCTTGCGGCATGCCAGGAAGAAATTCTCTCATACCTTGAAGGCCACCTAAGACTGCTGGGAGGTAAAGCATCCAGCACCTGCTCCCTCAACCCCAAGCCCAAGATGTGCTTGGTTTGGTTGCCGGAATGTCTTATGTAGTGTTGCAGTCGGAGCTAGAGTCATCCTGACTCCCAGCAGTAGTACTGTAGCAGCAGTCGTCAGGGCCATGCCATGCCCCAAAGATGTGTCGAAAGTTCTGGCACGAAGCCCTAGGCCCTAGTCCCTAATCCTTAAACCCTAAACCCTAAACCCTACCCTAAACCCTAAACCCTAAACCATAGGGATTAACGTTTGGGGTTTAGGCCCCGCCGTCCCAAAGTTGAGTCAAGGCTCCGGGACGTCCTTCCGCCGCAGCTGGGGGATGCCGACAGCCTTGCTTGTACCATCATCACGGGTTGGGGCGGCCTGGAGCGATTGGTCTTGGGTTTAGGGTTTAGGGTTTAGGGCTTTTGGGACGTTCGACTTGGGTCCATTCCCCGATGCGGGTGATAGCAACCTGCTGTGGCTGCCGCAGTCCAGAATTCTCGCAGCTTAGACCCTAAACCCTCAGGTAGAAAAGGGCCCTTAAAAAAAACTAAACCTTAAGCCTTACATCCCAAACCTCAAGCCCTAAACCTTAAACCCTGAACCTTAAACCCTAAACCTGAAACCTGAAACCCTAAACCTCAAACCCTAGACCCTAAACCTTAAACCCCAAACCCCAAACCTTAAATCCTAAACCCTAAAACCTTAAGCCCTAAACCGACCCCAAATCCCAGACCTTAGGCAGCAGTTACATCCGAGACCAAAGATTCCCTCCTAACGCCAAATCGGCCCGCATCCCAACCCTGCCAAAACCCCAAAGCCTAGGGTTCAGAGATTAGGGGTTAGGGATTAGGGTTTAGAGTTTAGGGGTTAGGGTTTGGGGATTAGGGTTTAGGGTTTAGGGATTAGGGTTTAGGGTTTAGGGTCTCCTAAACCCTGAATCCTACAGACCGGCAATGCATTCAGCTTGCCATTCAGTTTCTGTGAGTTCCGAAAGCTCTGGGCCTCCTGCCATACTTTCTACGGGATTCTTTTTGGTTCCGCCCGAAGAGCCTGTAAGCAAAAGCCAAAAGAGCCTTCGAACACAGTGAGCCGGAGGCAAGAACTCTTCTGCCTAAGCCCTAAACCCTAAATCCTAAACCCTAACCCCTAAGCTCCAAACCCTAAACCCTGAACCCTAAGAACCTTAAACCCATTCTCCACGATTCTGCCTTCAAGCCCGAAAGCCCCAAAACCCGCACTTGCAAAACCCAGGCATCCGCCCTTTTAAAGCCCTAGCTGTAGGAATGATCAGCCATACTGTTTCCTTACATAATTATAGCAAAGCATTCCATAGACGCCACCAAAGCCGTATTCTAGGTCTCAAGGCTTCTAGACTGAACTTTATAGTACTAACCCTGGCATGAACTGAACATAGGACCCTTTGAAGGAGCCCTACTCGACTGTCCTAACAAGGCCGATCCCGACGGCCCTGGCAGCAAGCCAACATCCAAGCCGATGTGCTAGTGCTGTTGCGGAGGATCGCCGTTTAGGGTTTGGGTTTAGGGGTTTAGGGTTCAGGGTTTAGGCTTTACGGTTTTGGAGTGGAGGGCTGAGGATTTAGGGTTCTAGGCTGACGGTTCAGGGTTTGGGGTTCAGAGTTAGGGTTTAGGCTTCAAGGTTGCGGGTTCAATGTTTAAAGTTCCGGGTTTAGGGTACAGGGTGCAATGCTGAGAGTTTAAGGTTTAGTGGCCAGGCTGCTTGACAGGACCCGGGAGTTTACCGTGGGCGCTCTTCGGGGTTGCTAAGGGTTTTTAGCGGCCTCTAAGGGTGGTCGGGGGGGCTTTGTTTGGGTTACCCAAAGGCTCCATGTACCTTTGTAGTGGATACTTTGGCCTTAAAGAGGTCCCTATATAGGTACTTTAAGGCCTAAGTATATACTATATGGGTACATGGAGCCTTTGGGTTACAGGGTTGAGGGTAGTTATGTAGATGTGGTCCTGGGCCAGGACTATGGACGCTTGTTGTTTGGGCTTGCACGTTTCAGATCCTTCCGCTTGCAGACGAAGGTTTCCGGGTTGAAGCCTCATGGTTGAGATCTTGTAAGGGTGAGCAACGGTCAGAGTTGACACGACTGGGTCGGGTTGCCTACAACAGTCAATCCGTGTATCTGCGTGTGCGTGTGTGTGCTTTACACTTCGGTTTGTGGAGGTATTTTGGCCTTGGCACCCCAGCGGTAACATGTAAACTGCCCGGAAGCGAAAATCTGAATCCCTTCTCACGGCTTGGGGCCCTCCCTTTCTCTTTGGCTGTCTTGTAGGATCCGGCATCTGGGGTTTGTGCTGCCTGGGGCCCTACGCTCCTTCACTGGATTTTTGTTTAGGGTTTAGGGCTGCGCAACGAAGTAATGGAGCACACGTGGACATAGTCTGCTTCTGTTGCATGCGTCGTTGAGGTAGCGGCTGTCCATGCGTCTAACCACTGCCGTCGCCACTGAAGCCGACACAGACCGCACACCTTGAGTCCGAATGAGATTCTGATGCTCGAGTGACTCCCCTGAACCCTAAGCTCTAAACCCTAAACTCCAAACCCTAAGCCGTAAACCTTAGGTACTGCCCCCCATACAGTAAGAGTCTATAATAGGGCTGCTATGAAGGTCCTAATATATCTATCTTATGAATATTATATATTATTCAACTATTACTGAGTGGGGGCCGTACCCAACGTAAACCTTAAGTTCTAAACCCTAAACCCTAAACCCTAAACTCCAAGCCCTAAGCCGTTAACCTTAAAGTTCTAAACCGTAAACCCCATGCAAGACGGAAAAAGGTGCTCAAACAAAAAAACGTAAACCCCAGCCTCTTGCGAACCGCACCCCTGAAACTGGCCGGAGCTGTCAACAGGTTCGGGCTGCCAGCGAAGGCGGCTCGACCAGGGTGAGCTGTAGAGGTGATAGGCTTTTCTACAGGTTTGGGCTCTTTTTTTAAATTTTAGTTTGGGGTTTAGGGCTTTAGAGGTTTGGTTCTCAGCTTTCGGCTTGACGTTTTAAGGTTTTTAGGGCTCTTGGACGTCCAGGGTTTAGGGACCGGTGTCTGCCTGCCAGAGGAAGGTTCGGGCTCTTTGTTTTTGAGGGTTCATGCTTGGGTCTCGCTGTGGCTTCTGGCTTCAGGCTGTGTCAGCAAAGTGTGCTTTGGAGCTTGTGGTTGACATGTTTCTTCAGGGTTTGAAAAAGGGTTTAGGGGTTTCAGGCTTAAGGAGTTACGAGCTTGTGGGGAGGGTGCAGGCTCCAGCGGTGGAGCTATGCAGCACTAAAATGCTTTAGCATACCAGTGTCCACCAGGTTAATAATCACTATCATTGTTATGGTTACTCTTATTACTATCTGTACTACTATTACTATTACTACTATAAATATAGTTGTTAGTTGCTACTGTTATTCTTACAACTATTATGGTAGTTATTACTCGCTGGATCCTGGCCCAGGTGATCCAGAGCAACCACGGCCGAGTGGAGCTGCAGTTGACCAGGAAGGATCTCAAAAGCTTTGAAAAGAAGCGCGCGCGCCCCCTTTTTTTGGGTTTAGGGCTTATAGGGTTCAGGGTTTATCGGGTTTAGGATTTAGGGGGGTCTTTTTGGCCTTGCAGGTTGGGGATAGGGAGTCGGCAGGACGACAGGCTAGTTGAACTTGTCGTGCCAGCAGTAGCGGTCGTGGTGGTGGTGGTGCTGCTGCTACTGCTGTGGATCGTCACTTTAGTAGCACGACAGTAGCAGAATGACTAGTAGCATCATCCGGAGCAGTACCTTGACGAACAACATGAAGAATAGGTTTTCTTCTGTAGCATGCGGCTTGACACTTCACTGCAGGCAGCACCGGCATCAGTGGGCCTTTGAGCTTGAAATCAACCCTGGGAAAACTAACGTGCGCCTCCAACAGAACCGTTTCCCACACAGACGGCTTTTCAACAGGCCTTGACCCTCTACCCGAAGCCCTAAACCCCTTACCGTAAACCGTCTACCCCAGCCTTAAAAAAACTGAAACCCTAAAGCGTGTGGCCTCTGCGCCCAGGGCCGCCACAATACCTCGCATGACTGCTGGGTCTCCTTCTTTGGACAGGTCTATGCCAGATGCCCAGAATTTAGGGTTTGCGATTTAGGCTGGGCTGTCCTTTGGGATCTTTTTTCATTTCCCCTACTATTTTGTAGAGAACCATAGTAGCAAGACAAATTTCAAAGGGCTTAAAGGACAACTCAGCAGGGTGCAGGGTTTGGGTGATGTAGGCTTGGGTTTTGAATGGGGGGCCCTGAGATGGACATGAGCAGGAGCTTGGACCGGGATGTCCTGGTTTTTTTGGGCGAATTAGGTTGTTTTAGAGGTGTTTATATGGGACATACCTGTCCTAGCTTTTGTTTATGTGCTTTTTGGGGCCCTACAGAACAACTTTGGGAAAGAGGTGTTGGTGTCGAGTCTAGTTGTTGTATGCTAGGCCACTTTGCAAGGGTCAAAGAGCCCGTAAGTTGGGTCTTGTTCTGTTGCCTGAGCCCCAAAAGTTCGGGTGGCGTCGTAAGTGTCTACTGTTGCCATCTGGCGTGGGCTATAGCCTGCAAACCTTGTGCCTCAGCGATTGCTTCACGGCACAGAGACTGCAAGGGCGCAGAGACTGCAGTCGCTCCAAACCCAAGCACTACGTACTCAGCCAAGTAGTTCTCTCCCCTTATCCCGAGGATGTAGGTTCCTACATCCCGAAGAATCGAGAGCCTTTCCCCTTACTACATCCCCAGCGCTGATCTCGCTGTCCGCAGCGCACCGGATGCCGAGGACCTGACGCCACTCCTGAAGGAGTACGATGGTCCCCTAGCGCAGCCCATCATTGCTGCAGCAGGGAGCGATATCTCCTTCTGGTTCGACGAGGCACATAGCTTTGGGGTTAGCGGTTTTAGGGTTTGCTCATACCTGGACCCCAAAAGTATGTAGAATAATAGCCTTTTATAGGTATTGGGCCATTATTTTACCTACTTTGGGGGAGTTTAGGTAGGGTGAACACCTTACAGCAACCCCATTTTTACCCGCACTCCCTCCGCTGAGGAGTCCTTCCGGCTCCCCGGGCTTGTGCCGTTTTGGAAAGCATGTGGGGAGCAAGTGAACAATCAGAAGGAATCGTCATTGAGAAGCCTTCAAACGAACATCAAGAAGGAATTTCATTGAGAAGTCTTCAAATGAACATCCAGAAGGAATATCATTGAGAAGTCTTCAAATGAATAACAAGAAGGAACATCTTAGAGAAGTCGTCAAGCATATCGAATAGTGGCTCGTTGCAACAACGAGTTATGCGTCGAAATCAAGAGTATGAGAGGTCTTAGTAGGGAATGGGGGACTGGATCCCTGTGATAATCCCCTTAAGGTCTCTTATAGTAGTCCCCATAACCCATTGCCCCATTCCCTGCTAAGAACCAGACAGCAATGGTGAGCAGGTATCGAGTACGGGTGAATTGTTGGCAATGACGAGTAGCATCCTGCAATTGGTAACTAATAAGAAAAATGGTAATGCTCATCTGAGACCTTACCTCTGGGAACCAACAATCGTCATCAGCATCAGTATCAGCATGATCTTCATCAACCATCATATTCATTTTCATTTCGGTTGTAATCATCTTCATCTTTATCATGTTAATGTTCATTTAGAACCATTAGTATCTTAGTCAGTATCGACTTCGTCAGCGTGCCGGTGTAGCAACGAAAGACAAGTTGTCCAAAACCACCGAGACAACATAGAAGCATGAATAAGCAGCCAACCTTATTCGCTAGGGTTCCTTGCTGTATCCATACTATTATTCGGGGTTCTAACTAGTAAGCCAAATTAACTCGACACAGCTTCGAGAGCATTTCAAGGCTTCAAGGTGACAGCTTCACGCGTTGTGCGCACACGGTCGAAGGCGCGCCTCGAGTGGCGAGATGGGAGTAGAACGGACAAAACGGTTTTTGGTTTGGTTCTGTTTAGGGTTTTAGGGGGTTCTGTTTAGGGTTTTAGGGTTTAGGGCTTAGGGTTCAGGCTTCTCGATTTTTTTATGATGCCGTTAGAGAAAGAAGCTGCTGCCCCCGCAAAGCCACGTGACTCGGGTCTGCCCGGTAATGTAGAGACCTTAATAATTGGAATAGGGTTTTGGGGGTTCCATATTGCATAATAAATAAACCCTCAAAGCCTGTTCTCATCACTAAGGCCCCTATTTTAGCCCGACTATTTTCGCTTGCCCTCACTCTGGCGGTTTTGCGCGCGAAGCCGGCTTGAACTTTCCTGGGGAGAAGCATGGCCACAGTACTGGAAGCTGTGGTAGCAACAAGAATGCGAAAGTAAGAACGGCAAAGACATCCCCTTCAGTCCTAAACCCTGAACCCTAAACCCTAAACCTTATTTCGGCTTGAAGGCGACAGGCAAGCCGAAGATGCATGTGAACCCGGATACCGGCCTCCAGGCTTTGGGACGGGGCAGGGGAGATGGGGATGAAGAGAAGAAGGTGAGTTAGGGTTTAGGGGTTTAGGGTTAAGGGTTTAGTGGTTTAGGGTTTAGGGTTCAGGGTTTAGGGTTTAGGGTTTAGGGTGTGAGTGGGGGCGGGAGAGGTGTTATCCAGGTATGCTTGCACCGGGCTTTTCGCAGATTATTATTGGATTTGGAGTTTGCGAGACCTCACATGTGGAGGGCGAATGTAGTAATTTAGCAGATCAGGTCATTTGGTTGTAAGACAAAGGTTTTCCTGTAGTTGTGTGACTGCAGCTAACTATACCCTAAATCCTGAACATATACATGCGAGGAGAAAGAGCTGAATGAATGCTGGCAGAAAACTTGCTGTCGGAAGATAAAGATCCAGACCATGGGCCTGGTGGATTCAACAGTATCAGCTGCGCTGAGTCGTCTCACTCAAACGAAACCGACTCGGCGTCCCACGAGGTTTGCGGGACGACAGACCCGACTAGAATAATCGTGCTATGGCCCTCCGTGGAACGAGGCTGCTGGCTGAGGACTGCGACTTGGCGCAAACATATTTGGCATCACAAGAGCTGGCACTCGACGTCCTGAGAACTATTCAGAGTTTTTCAATTTCTACGACGAAATTCCGTCCTTGCGTCTTGTTGCCGTGATCTACAATCCATCGTACTGAGCAAGAAGTGCTGGCAGGGTAGACACATAAATCTTGTTGTGACTCCACTGGCAAACACTCCACAAGCGGTGAGCAATGCGGCTACAGTCTTCTAGCAAGCAGCCTCTCTCACAATGAAGATTGGACACCTAGCTTGCCTGGAAGACATCCCGCGTCAAGCCATCATTCACTGGTGTCCGAAGGAGCTTGACATTCTGCACAACAACATCCGCGTTTGGGCAAGCACTCACCCACTCTTCGGTGCAAAGGAGGTTTGTTGATTGTGCCGCGCACCGTGACAGCGATCTATATCGGTGCCACGGCGGCCGCAAGCACACAAAAAACCTTACTTGAAAACTGCTTGTCTTTACACGACTTCTTGTCAACTTTCTGTGGGATGCAGCGGCTCAGCTCGGCAGGAGTTTCCATCGAACACGGTCAACAGTTTGCTGACACCCCCTGGCGCCGCTAATGAGTTCATGGTCTTGTGGTCCAACCGTCGATTGGAAACGTGGGAAAAGCTGCTGCAAACCGCATACCGACGGTCTGCACGGGCTGTACACCCGGATACGCATGTTGGTTGGAGAGAAGGAAGCCGCCTGGCAGCAATGGACTCGCGTTCGGCAGTTGTTTCCAACCATTATGCCCCAATGCTTCTGCGGCCGCTGCTTGGCCATCCACGCTAACGCACCAATTGCTCCGACTGTTTCAACCCGCCCAAAACCAAGAAAAGGGGCCACCAGTGTGAGCTCAGGGGGATAGGGCGGATGACGAGATTTCATCCCGACCTTGTGCCGGAGTTTCTTAAAAACAGAGGACACGGCTATGACGATGACGAAGCACACCGACTGGCGATGAAGGCTAAAACGTCCTTGTGTAGCTCTGGAAGGTGGACAGCGTTGACATAAAGCGCCTGCCAGACGGCACGTCGCGTGGGTTCGCATTTGTGAAGTTCACAGACAAGGAGACACATGTGCCGGAGAAAGAGAAACGTTGGGGTTGGGTCAGGGCTTGATATGATGCAAAGTCTCACAGCAGGCACTGATGTCCTACTGGTGCATCATTCCCTGCGAGGAGTCAGTTCAGAAAGCCTTGAAGCCAAAGCCAATCATATGATTGACAACAAGTGCCTTGGCTAGTGGCCCGTGATTCAATGGTATCCAGCGGCGCGCATTGCAGCACAGGCAGACGCCAAGCATTCAGGCGAGTTGAGGCATCTTCAGCTGTTGGCAGATACCAACCTAGAGTCCCCAATGGCCATGGTGATGGTGCAGGAAATGGTGATGGTGTTGCCGCAGTTGAGAATCAGTACTGCTGGATGATCATTCTCGAACTCGGAGTATGGGAGTGCCGTCCGAGTCCCGAGCTGAGGTGGGTGGGAGTTCGCCCACACACAAGCTCTGCTTCTCGAGCCGCGCAGCGTGCCTAGCAAGTTGTGCGAGAGAAGGCCCGCCCTCCGCGTGCAGACATGCCCCGTGTGGTCCTTGCCCTTTGTCAGCGAGTTGCAGCTGTATTTGAACAAGCAAGAACTCGGTACAGCTCACCTTGAAGAAAGTTTTGCTGAAATGCCGGGAGCATGTTCCTCAGTAATCATATGCGTGATTTCAAGTTCATTCGCGACTTTCAGTGCGCTGCTGTCACACATTGATCCTGGGACGTTGGTGAGAATCTAATCATTCAACAGACACCGTAGGTACTTTATCTTGTTCATAAGTCTTCAGTGCCCCTGCTGAGGTGATGCTGCTGTGGTCACCAGGAATCTGTGAGGTCTTGTCGCTGTCGGTGGGCAGTTTGCTATATGTGCGCTTCTTGGGTTTCCAAAACCCGTGCAAGGGAGACGCCTGGTGACTTATGTCCGTCTTGCAAAAATCTTCCACTAGGCGACTTCATTGGTGGGTCTTCCAGCCCATCCTCCGACGATACCGTGCGCATTGGAGTCGACAGGGGCACGTGCTGTGATCCCCATGAGCTCATTCATTCAGCCGGAATGCGTGGACTCAGTGGCTGCTAAGGCAGCTCAAACAAAGCGGCTCATCAACTCCAGGCTGCAACCGTGCAAGCGAAAAGCAAGCCAACTTGGCTCTGCTGGATGGGTTCAGGCCAAGACTTCGACAGCCAGGCTCGTGGACCTTTGCGATTTCACGATGTCCTGAAGTTCTTGCGTGAACACCACAGAGATGTCAGAATTCGTTTTCAAGTAGCAGACCATACCAATTACATCGATGGTGTACAGACGAAAGGGGTCAGTCACTGGAATGATTCATGCTTTCTCTCAACCGGTTGATGCCGATGTGGTCATCACCAAGATGATGAACGGCAGCAATTGGCCTCGGGCAGGGTACACACATTTTTTATACATGGTATAGACTCGATCGTCCCTTGGCACTTGGAGGCCCAGGGGCTTCGTAGATAGGTTATGCGAAAAGTTACGTGGCAAACAAGCACCCCTGTAGCTCTACCTTTTATAAGGCCCAACGCCCTAAACCCTAAGCCCGAAAGCCTAAGCCCAATTCCTAAATCCTCAGTTTAGAGCGCTTGCGGGTGGAGTGCCGAACATAGGCTGCATCTTAAACGCTTTTCAGCCCAAGCCCCTTCCGCTCCAAACCGGCATCTGGAGTCAAGTCGGGAATTTGCTTTGTAGTTCCGATGCATGAAGAAGTTGAGGATGGTGTTCGTTTAGCGTTGCCAGATCGACATTGCGAGCTCCAGAGAATTCTGACAAGTCGTCTCGGTTCGACATGGAGCCCACCAGCCCCAGTCTCAAAAACCTAGTTACATTGAGAACTTCCACAGTGGAACTTCCACAGCACAAAAGTGTTTAGCACTTACCCCCGTGTGTCCATCTCATCGGTTCTGCAGCTCCTGCAGCCTACACCCACATTTTGGCTCCACCGTCCTTTGCCCGCGTTCCAACCTCCGCAACTTGAAGCCAGGATTTGAGTTGAGGTTAGACGATTCACTTAGCAGTAGACTGAGCAACTTGTAACCTTTTTGAGGTAGTATAAGCCTTACATAATCCCAAGGGTCAGCCTTCAAATCCCGAGGATACTGGACAAGTACAGTCATTGTTTC